CGCTCACCGCCCTCCCCCCAGCGCTCCGGCCGGCCGGGGAGAGCGGGGCCGTGGCCGGGCTCGCCACCCTCCCCTGCCGCGCTCCCCGCCAAGGGGCGGCGGGAGGCTTTTTTGTCTGGGGCAGCAAAAAAGCCAGAGCCGGCTCTGGTAATAATATCTAAGATGAGAAATTACTACTTGTAACCAATTTTTTTAGTGAATCAACCTTAGTATGCGTGTTTTGTTTTATTTGCTTAGTAATCTGCTTTGTTCTGTTTGCTATCTCTTTAACCACTTAAAATCTACCTTTGATAGTTAATAAATTTATTTTGTTTATTATTAAACCCAGTTTATATAATTTCTAACTGGGGGGGGGCAAGAAGTTGTGCATCTCTCTTCACATTGAGGAAGAGGGCAAATTTTTATGAGCTTGAGCTGTGCAGATTTTTCTATACCACACAAGACAATATACCTTTGGGTCTGCACTCCAAAGCAGGTGAGCACCTGAGTGCTGGGGAAAATCCCCTAAGCTGAGTCTTCCTAGAGCTGATCTCAGTGTCTGTGTCTTTCTGCAGCAGGGGGTGGCCCTACCTGTGTGTGTGCTAGAGGAGGTTTAAGAGCCTGGCTCAGCCAGACAGGTTAAAGGGGGCCCATGCTGGCAAAACAGGCGGGCTCAGTGATATCTCAGCATATCAGGTGGCATCTTAAAAGGGGGCAACCCATCAGAGCGGGATTGGTTTTTCCCCCCTCCTTTCTATGAAACAAAGGGCCTGATTCTGCAAACAGAAATTGATGTTCAATCTTGAGCATATCTAGTCAAGTCAATAGCATTAAGTGCACGTAGCAAATGGTTCCAGGATTAGGCCCTATTATTCTAAAGCAAGGGTTCTCAAATTTTTCATGATTTGGATCACTAGAAGACATTATTTCGAGAACCACCTTCCTCACTCCACTCATCAAGGGCCTGTGATGGCAATTACAATAATTGCTTATGAAGCAAAGTAATATTAGAAAAAACCTTTAATATTCTGTTAACCTTTTTTTATGTGCTTTAAGAGCTATAAATAAGAAGGAAAGCCAGCACCATGCAACCAGCAAATTGTCCAAGGACCACTGATGGTTAAGGCTACGTTTTAGTCATGGGTATTTTTAGTAAAAGTCATGGACAGGTCACGGGCAGTAAACAAAAATTCACAGCCTGTGACCTGTCCATGACTTGTTCTATATACCCCTGACTAAAACTTGGGTGCTCTTGGGGGGTGGGGGGGAGAAAGAGGAACAGCCTGGGGGCGTCACAGGTGCTCTGGGGAGTAGTGGCTGGGGGGCGCCACTGGTGTGTGTGGGGGGCAGTGGTGCACGTCCTGGAACCACTACTGCTGCGGTGGGGGGGGGGGGGGGGGGTAGTTTGGCAGGCTCCATACCAAGCGCCCCAGAAGTGGCATCATGTTCCTTGGCTCCAAAGTGGAGGCGCGACCAGGGGGCTCCACACACTGCTCCCTCCATGAGCGCCCGCTCCGAAGCTCCCATTGGCCAGGAACCACGGACAATGGGAGCTGCGGGGACAGTGCCGCACCTTTGTATTGGCCGCCCCAAGCACCAGCTTCCTTAGCTGGTGCCTGGAGTCGGCCCTGCTGCCTGCTGCAGAAGTCCTGGAAAGTCACGGAATCTGTGACTTCCGTGACAGACTTGCAGTCTTACCGATGGTCCACCAATCCCAATTTGGGACCTGCATATTATTTCATGAAGACTGTGACACTTTTCCTAAAACGTTTGTCAAATGAGAAAACAATCCCCTGAGAGTAATTGAGCCAATTATCTGCAACTCCCATTAAGTTACAAGTGCTGAGCAACTCTGAGGATTAGGTCATGAATGTTAAAAAAGCTAATCTGAAGCATTTTGAAGTAGTAATATGTTCTTCAATAATACAGTCATTTCAGATTGGGGTGTTGATGCTTATTTCTTATGTAAGCTTATAAATACTGAATAAAGACTGTACCATGAGATTTGGAAATTATGAACAAGAAGCAAATTGAGGAAATTGAAGCATATGACATATGGGGAGGATGAAAGCTACACTTGACTCGACTTTCTTCCTCAGTAAGGTCCTCGTGCTCCTATGTGTAATTTTTTCTTAAATCAATTAGGCTTTTATCCTGCATTAAAAATTCAGTAAGGGCCCAATCCAACTCTCATTGACTTAAACAAGGGATGGATCAGGCCACCAGTATTTTGAACATCAATTCATCTTTATTTTTATTTCTGCAGAACTTGGCTGAAAGGCGTTTTAGTTCTTACAGTATTATTGTTCTGGTTGCTTTTGAGTAAAGAGCTCAATTAAATCCTGGATCCAGAATTCTTTTTTATGGTTTGTGTTATCATAATGTCAAGGAGCCACAGTCATGGACCAGGACCACACTGGTGCAGTACAAACACAGAATAAAAACCTACTAGTGCAGTGAAACAGACACTAATGACCACCTCCAGCAACTAAATCTTCACTTAACCAGTTCCCTTCAAAATATCCCCAAGATTCCAGTATAAAAGTTTGCTTGATCTTTAAATAAGGACTACATATATTAAGCAATAGCTTTTTTGATGGTCAATCACATGGCTGCTTAAGACAAGCACCACGACCCTGTGAAAGGTAAAAATAGATGACAAAGATATTTGCTTTTATTTCTGGTACCCATACATCATCTCTGGCCTCTTGATTGTGCTTGAGCAAATGTAGACTTCTAAGGCCCTACCCTGCCATAACCCCTCTCTTTCCCAGAGGGCCTTAGGCAGGTGTAGGGAACATCAAAGAGGGGTCTGAGACCACAGGAACCAAGAAAAGCGTATGCAGGGAAACTTGAGTAGAGGAGCTGCATGTTGCTTGCACTAGCATGACCAAGTCAAAAATTATATATATATATATATATATAAATTTACTTAATTTTATTATTTATCTTTTACTACTTTTCCTACAAAACATGTTGCTGCAATATAAAATGTGTCATGTAAAAACTAACATTAAATGAATAGGAATAATACTCAAAGAGAAACACTTCCTCCAATAATGAACAAATATATTTAAAGTAAAACCTTGTTCTGTAAGCTGAACAGACCTATGCAAACGTCCTTCATCATGAGATGGAACAAAGGATGCATACATAAAATACAAGGTCATAAGATTAAGGTTCCAATCCTGTGAAGGCCTGAGCTCCTGCTAATAGGAGTTGAGGCAGTTCACTAAAGCTGATCAGGAAATGATTCCCCCAAACCCTCCACCTTCTTCCTCTTCCCCCTGAAAAAAGGGTTACAGTTTTTTTGTTTTCATCATATATAGAAATATTTATCTTTTCTATGAAAACCTAAGATTTTTGATAAAGCCAGATTTTTTCCATGAAATTTTCATTTAATTGAAAAGCCATTTTCTATGGGAATAGCGTTCTGACAAAAAAATTTCAACCAGTTCTAGAGCTCAGTTCCCTTCACAGGATCAGACCAGGTTCCACAAACATTTTTCTTTCTCAAGGTGTTTGCTTCTGGGGGTAGTTTGGGACTATACTTTTGGCCTGTGTTTTGAAAGCTGTTCTTTTCATTTCTTGGGAAAAGACAAAATGTATGGGTTATTTTTAAGTTCTGGAGGTGTACCTGAAGATGCATTATGGGGTACTTTCCACATCAAAAAGTAAGCACATATGAAGGAGAGCCTTTCATTTTCACAAACATATAAATAAAAAAATTATCAGCTAAAGACGCCTTTTAGATCATTCAACAGAGGAGATTTTTGCCTGTAACCATATTGTATCACTACTTTAAAAATGAAAACCCGTTTAATAAAAGACATGCTAAAAAGGAGCAGACAGACATTTTTTTCTCTCTACTCTGGGTAGGACACTTATACAAAGGAGTGGGCATGTCGCTCTGTACCTTACAGCTACCCATACTAATTCCCAGGTTTAGGCAAAAAGCCTACCAAGCAAACCCAAATGTTGGGCTTCTGAGTCGCATTTGGACAGCAGTAGTAAACCTACTCATACAATGAAGTGAACCTACTTAAAGAGAGTTGGAGATAGAAGAACAAAGTTGAAAAAGAAGCTAGCTAGTCTCAGAGTAGGCTACTGGACAATGGTGTTTTTTTTTTAAATTTAAGCTTTAGGTACCGTTATTAAATGCATCATGCTTCAATATAATAGCAAACTAAGAGTAAGGACAGGTCTATACTTACACCACTACTACAACCTGACAGGAGAGCTTCTCCCAACAGCGTAATAATTAATCCACCTCCATGAGAGGCAGTAGCTCTGTGGAGCATAGTTCATCCGCCTTCACGAGAGGTGGTAACTACGGGGACAGGAGAAGCTCTCCCATTGACATAGCACTATCTACACTGGGCTTAGGTCGGTACAGCTTTGCTTCTCAGGGAGGTGGATTTTTCCTGAGTGAGGCAGTTATACCGATGTACGTTTATATTGAAGACCTGGCCTAACAGAGCACCTGACATTGACAGTGCTTAAAAGTGACTGAAAGCAAGCCAAGGAGGAACAGTAACATCTCATTTACAATCGCAGTTGCAGACTGTGGGTAAGGGGAACCTGCTGGCTGGGGTCACACAGTCACATTTAGTGAGACTCCATGGGAAAGCCCCTTATTTGCTACCTGGCACCTGGAGTATCACAAGATCCTGTGTAAAAGATGGGCATCAAGTGGTGTTTTATAGAGTGAGGACGCCTCTAGCAGACATCAGCTGTCATGGGAGCTTCGGATCAGGAGCAGCTACCAAAGGGGTGAGGTGACTGAGGAAACGGGTCCCTGACTGAGCCCACTGGGGGGCGACAACAGGGATTTAAGAAGGCCCGGGCCTCAGGTGCTATAGAACTGGGGTCTCTGTGCGGGGAGGGATCCCTGCCCCAACCCCTCAGGAATCGGAGGACGTTCCCTGGCTGGGGGGTCTAAGACAAGAGTAGGGGTCTCAGAGGGGGGCCCAGCAGGCAGCCTGGGGTGAGGCCCGGGCCCGTTGGTGGCGTGGGGGTACCTTGAGCACGGTGACGGTGCCGCCGGGACTGTGCACCTCAAAGGCGGCGGCCTCGTCCCCGCTAGCGGCGGCGGCCTCGGGCTGGTGGTAGCTGAAGCAGGAGGCGGCGATATCCAGGTGGCCGAGCGGCAGCGCCTCCTGCGGGCCCTTGAAGTAGTAGAGGTAGCAGCGGCGGGGATCGAAAACGAACCAGCGGCTGCGGAAATTCCGCAGCGGGCCCTTGCCCGACAGCTTCTGCAGGTAACCGCACAGCTTGGGGGCGCCCGGCCCAGCCTGCTCCGCCAGGCTCAGCGGCACCGCGGCGTCCCCGCCGCCGCCCTCCTCCCCCTCGGCGGACCCCGCCGCCGGCATCTCCCCTCGCCTCCCTGCCAGCACTGCCGCGGGCACACGGCCTCCCTCCGGCCGCTCCGCGGAGCAGCCCAGCCCGCCGCCTGACGGGACTTGTAGTCCCCGGGCGTCCCTCCGCCCTCTCGCTGACAGAGGAGGGAGAGCTACGGGCGCTGCCCGGGCATCTCCTGCCCTGCCCCACCCCAGCCAGCCTGGCCTTGCAGCCGGGAATCTCCCCTGCTCAGCCTCGCTCCGCCCCCCTCAACCGCTACTTGTGCAATCGTGGCTGCATGTTCGTGCACACACATTATGGGTGTGCACACGGAGCTGGGCCCCTTCCATGGGGAAGTTAAGTTGGGCTCTACGCATGTCTTTTCGGTCCTGAGTACGCGGCGAGCGTGAGCGTTGCTAAATCCTGCCTGCCAGATGTCCCTGGACATTTAACGTGGTCCAGCTCAGGTTTCCGGCAAGGAAAGTCTCCATAAGCAGACACTACCCAAACCTTTTCGGGATACTTCCTGACTGAGGTACTGCCAGTAATCAGACCCCTGAAATTGGCTTTGCCCTTAACGTAGCCAGGAGCCCCTTTGCAGGAAATCAGTATGAAATGGGCTGGAATTGATTTGGAAGATTACCTTCTTCCGTTTTGGGCTATTATGCTCCATGTGTCTGCCCCTTTGAGGTATCCTCTCTTGGTGTATTGCTACCAGACTCACTATTATGACTACATTCAACTGTATTTTCCATCTCATAGCCTAACCTACAGATAAGATTAGATTAGCATCCCTCTCAGTCTTGTGGCATTGTTACTCATCTGTGAAATCTCTACATTCATTTCAGTTATCTCTAGTGTACTGAGTTAATTGAAAAACAATAATTATGTGTAACGGAAGCTCAAGATGTGCCCATGCCAAAATGAAGTACATGCACAATCTTTTTGTAATGCTTGTATTTACTCGCAGGTCATTTTTTGTTGCTCACCCATTGAGCCACGTAAAATTCAGCCCCAATTCTGCCTTGAGTTGCACCCTGTGCAACCTCGACTTCAGAAATTTGCCATGTATCTTTGAATCCGACATGCAGAAAAGCCACTTGGTCTACATTCATCTCTATATCCCCAGATCAGTCTCAATTACCATAACTTGTCTGATGTTCTAATTTGTCTGATAATTTTTTTCATACAGTGCCAAGACTATGTTGGAATAGCCAGTGCTTCTGTCACTAGATCCCACTTTAAGGCACAGATGAGGGACTAGAGCTTCTTTATTTCAAATCTCCTTGTTATAGCCAACATCATTAGTCCTCCATTCTGAATGTTGTGTAGAAAACTGTGGGGTTAAACAGAAGTAAAATGTTTAGTCTCAGTTCTTGGGTTTGCAGCCTTCACTGGGTGATGCTTCATTTCATATGTAGCTGGGAGTTATTTTCTCAAGTTTGATTTCTACAACTGAATTACCCATTTCCCTGTTAACAGAGCATAGCAACTTTCAGTATTGTTTATCAGCAGATGATACATTATGAGGGGATATTTTAATCCTAGAGGACAGATAATACTTAACTGGCATTGATGCATATTTAGGGTGACCAGATGTCCCGATTTTATAGGGACAGTCCCGATTTTGGGGTCTTTTTCTTATATAGGCTCCTATTACCCCCCACCCATTGTACCGATTTTTCACACTTGCTGTCTGGTCACCCTATGTATTCAAGCTATGTAGAGTTGGCTCAGCTAAAGGAGGCCACATCAGTGCAGTGCTTATCATGGCATATCTGTTAAAGCTTTACTTGATGTTGAGGCTTTGTTAATAGACATGGAGGGAAAAGAAAGCTGATCTCACTTAAAGGGCAAGTAAATGTCACTTCTATAATATAGGCTATTCAATAGTTCCTCTACCAAATAGTCCCATAATGTGTACAAATTCAAAACCCTGCGACTATCAACAATTGCCAAATCTTTCAAGGTCTGATCTTGCAAGGTACTGAGCAGTGTCAACTTCCATTGACTTCAGTGAGAGTTGAAGGTGTTACTGGGCTAGCTGCTTTGCTGTCCCTTCTCCGGAGTCTCTGAGTGAACCTCCTTCCCCTACCCCCACAGGTGTCAGGCCTTGACCTCTTATGTGATGGAATTCTGCAATTCATCCACTTTTAGACCAGGACTTCATTTAAAGCCCCTTGGGTACCCGCTGACTGATTCAGTGGGTCCACCTGGGGTTGGACCCGGCCAGGGTTTCCTTGTTGGAGCCTGTGATGGCATACCTTTGCAGTGAGACTGAAACAGCTTCTTCAGACACAAAGCATGATTTATTTTGCCATAAAGTTACACAACACTTACAGAGAGAGATTTAAAATAACTAATCTGCATTTCAAACGTAGGTCAACATAGATATGGTGTTCCAGGACTTCGAGCACCATAGCTATGCCAACCTAACCCTAGTGTAGACAAAATTAGGTCAACAGAAGAATGCTTCCGTCATCCTAGCTAGAATGGCTCAAGGAGATAGAGTTCCTACAGTGCTGTAGTCTGTGTCTACACAGTGCTGTAGTCTGTGACTATGGGGTTACTGCAGCAGCACCGTAGTATAGATGTGCTCATAGACATATGCATATTCCCTTACCTATGCTTAACCTCTCTGTAGCCGCAACTTAGGCAGCTCTGGCCTACACTTCTTGCAGCCTTCTCCTTTTGTCTCTGTCAGACTGCCAGCCTTTTTACTGACATTCTGACCAGCCTCTCTGACCACTTCCCCTTCCTTTTCTGTCAAGGGCATCTTTTTAACTGGTCAGGGTCTCAGCCCTGGCAAAACAAATCCTGATAAATTTGCTGGCATCTAGAAATAGCATCTCCCAGTAATGGACCAATTGTTCTCCTTGCTGCTTTGAAGGTATGTACCTGCACCTGTCTTATCTGTCTCATTGTTTTAGCTTTCCTGTGTGGTTCTTTTACAGCCTCCTTTGATTTTGCTGTATGCATTTAGTCAGGCAGCCTACAAAATTGAAACCAAGTCACACATAATATTCATAATACAGACATTTTCACAGTTTGTCACAGAAGGCACTCAGCATCTTGCAGGATCAGGCCTTTCTTGTAAAGTGTCATTTACCAGACAACACATGACACTTTCTTCTTCCCAGTTTCCAGGAGAGATGTTGGCACTGTTTAGAAGTCTCACATTGACCTGGCCTCATTCATTCAGATATGTTTAAATACCAAAGAAATTGTCTCCAATATTTTTCTTTAACTTATCACCTGACCAGCAGCGGGCTCATTCCTATGAAGCATTTAGCGTCTTGATCTTGCACCAGCAGCTGCTACTGGCATCAACAGAAATTTTGGGGTTCCAGCAACTCATAGAATCAGGCTCTATACTCTCAAGACTTTTGCTCTCAATACTTCTCTTTTTTCATACTTGCTGTACAGCTTCCTCACTTACAACACTCTAATCAGGCTGTATTGTTTTTACAGTTAGTTCATTGAAACAGAAAGTTCCTCTTCTTAGGAAGATAAGTTCCTTATTTCATGCATATCCTTTTTCTACAAATGTAATCCAGATGCGAACTGATAAATGATAGCTGCATCTTTCAACATTATTACTGTTTGTAGTGAGTTTGTACTTTCTTTACATGCTTTTTCTTTTACATCTTCAGCTCTAGAATGCAGAGTCCATGTGGGTGACATTCAGTTGTTTGGCAGATGTTTAGAAAATGAATATAAATAGCAAATTAATCACAGAGGGTGAAATTCCCCTAGTATGCAGATGGCCAATACAAGGCCAGCAAAGATCTCCATATAGGGCGAAAGTGGGAGTTGATGGAGTGTAGGCATTATGCTGGTCTACCACAAAGGTGTAAATTTCACCCAAAAAGTGTGACATACACGATGAGGTTTCTATGGTTATATTGATGATCAGCTCATAAAGCTTGACAAAATATTTACTACTTCTTGTTTTGGTAAGTTTGACCTTTTTTTAAAAACGAACCAGTAATTTTGTAGGCACATTATTGGTTCAAACATGTTCATTTACAAAACATATCAAATGAGAGAGCCATTTTTACTCTGAATAATGAGAACCCTTCAACTACGTATTTCATAACATTTTGAGTGTTTTTCACCATGTTAAAAGCGAGAAAGAGTCCTGTGGCACCTTATAGACTAACAGACGTTTTGGAGCATAAGCTTTTGTGGGTGAATGTTCACTTCGTCAGCATGACGAAGTGAGTATTCACCCACAACGTCTGTTAGTCTATAAGGTGCCACAGGACTCTGTCACTTTTTACAGATGAAGACTAACACAGCTACCCCTCTGATACTTTCACCATGTTGTGAATATAGGTATTTGCAGTGCTTGAAGTAAGTTCTCATTTCAATGTAAGAGAAACAATAAGGAAATCATTATCTAGGGCATGTTATTTAATACAAACGTATCAAGAGTACAATCAGTGCAGATCCTTTGGCTCAGACTTTTGTGTTTACACAAGTGTAGGAAATTGGTAAATTCTGAGCAGCACAACATCAGTACTTTGCCTTTGGTTAAACACTTACTGCTTTTGGCTTACAGAGCAGTAGAGCCACACCTAACAAAAACAAAGATTGGGCCTCAGCTGCAAAATTCAGATCCAGTTTTGGGGGTCCCTCAGAATAATATCTTGCAGAGACTGAATCACAAATACAGTCTCTCACTGTCAAAGATAATCATTTTCTCTGTTGCAAGAACCTCTGCAGGGTTCTAATGTGAAGAACTTCGACATAGCGCTATATTGTTTGTATTGTGGGATGGATGTGCCTGACCCACTGCACTTCAGGTTCTTGAGAGGGAGGGCACAATGCTGTGGAAGGCAGGAGGCAAAGGTGACCTAAGTCACTTTTACAACAGGAGCCAAACAGGTAGAAAGTTGCTGTAACCTAGGCCTGGTCTACATTGGGGGGGGGGGGGGAGAAAGGGGGATCAATCTAAGTTACACAACTTCAGCTACGTGAATAACGTAGCTGAAGTTGACGTACTTAGATCGACTTACCGTGGTGAGTCAACTGCTGCCGCTCCCCCGTCAACTCTTCCTGCGCCTCTCGTGGCGGTGGAGTACAGGAGTCGACAGAAGAGCGCTCAGGGATCGCTAGCATCTATTAGCTAGACTAGACGCGATAAATCAACCCCTGCTGGATCAATCGCTGCCCGCCAATCCGGCGGGTAGTGTAGACATACCCTTAGCCTTGCTAGATGTTTGCAGTGTTGTTGATTCCAGGATATCAGAGAGACAAGGTGGTAGAGGTAATATCTTTTATTGGGCCAGCTTCTGTTGGTGAAAGACAAACTTTCGAGCTTACATAGCTCTTTGTAAGCTTGAAAGCTTGTCTCTTTACTGACCAGAAGTTGGTCCCAATAATATTACCTCAACCCACCTTGACCTGCTAGATTGTCTCCTACTATTCGGCTGGCAAGAAATCAG